CGTCGTGCGGCATTTTATGCAAAAATATGCAGCAATCCAAATGCACTGCCAAGTTCGGAATCTGCATAGCTGCTTTCTATTTCTTCCTTTGAAAAACTATTCAAGCACCGGACAAATATATACGAAGGACCGTTCGTAACAATAATTTACGATGGACGCGTCTTTAAAATTCTTTTTCAAATATGATCATGTCATTGCGGAAGTCCAGTGAGGCAGGGATACTCCTTTTCACACACAAAAATTTACAACACTATTTTCGAAGTTAAAATGGATTCGTTGGGACAAGTTTACTGAAAATTTATGCACGACAGATTGCAGAATAAAAGAGTTTCTCAATCGGTGCTCAAGCGGCGCCCTTTCACAAAATATTTTTGAAGTTTCCTGGAATCTGGAGCTGCTTCATAAGATTAAGGACAACTCAAACAGCAACTACTGGAACAGTGACAATAAGTCGCACAGCAAAAATTGGCCCATTGCCGCAACTCGTGCCCAGACAAGGGGCCTACTGCTACAAATCCCACGGTTTTAATTTTTATTTTTTCGACTAAATTCTTATTGATTTCAAAAATAAGTTCAAGAAAATGTGCAAAATGTGTTGTGCCCATAGTAGAATTCCGTTACAACGAATCTTGTTACAAGAAATGTTTAGTGGTCCCAGCAGTTTCCCATAGGCGTAATATTATAAAAATTTTGTCATATCGAAGTAATTTTAGGCTGTAATCTCATTATAAAAAATGTTTGGCATGATTCTGTGCATAGCCCATATACAGGGATTACTCAATAAATGGCAGAAATTGATGAAGATATTAAAATATGTAACATTAGAACTTCATAAAAAAAAAGCTTTATGCAAAGGAAACTTGGTGTCCAAAAAAATACCCCACAGCTAGGACGTATTTGTGGAAATTATTTTGCTGATCCATTTCAGAATGTGTGCCTTTTCCAAATAAACATTATGTTAGAAGAATGTTCCTCTATGTTTCAAAGAGCCATGAGTGAATACTGTACCTCGATTGAGAAGAAAGTGTATAGTATTCTTATCATATGTAATTTTGTTTTATTTTATTTGTGCATTTTAAAGTATTTATTCCCCATTTTCAATAAAATTGCAGTCTGAAATGTACTAAAAATATTAATCTTGATGCAAAAAGATTTTTATAACAAATTTTCCTCATGTCCCCAGGAGTTTGTTGTGACAAGATTTTTCTGTGGATGCTCTTGTCTACAACATCAGATGTACTTGTCATTTATTTACAAAATTGCAATGGAAAAAAATTAGAAGATGCACTTTTTCCATGCAAATTACTGAGACTTTTTCTTCAAAATTTTGGAATGTAGGAACACAGTTCCATTCATTCATCTTACTTTTTATGAAAACATCTTTGGCACATAATAGAAAAAACCTGTGCAAGTTGTCACTGTTCCAGTTGTTGCTGTGCAAGTTGTCGGGGAATCACTTCATTATTACCTTGAAAATCCAAAGATAGTGTAATTGAAAACGTCAAAAACCATCAGAAATGCCATTAAGTTCTTCCATGAAATAATTTTTTATAAGATATGGAATATGTGGAAGGTTCAAGGTGTACGGCTTATAAAAATCAGCAAAAACTTGAAATAAATTGTATTCGCTCATGGTATAAGGACTCGACTCAAAAATAATTTTCTCAGGACATCCGGCATCAAATGTACAAAACTATATTTTCAAATAGGGCTTCCTCAATTGAAATACAAAAATAAATAGAACCTCTGGTCTATCTAAATTTAATACTTTTGGGCAAAACATGAAAAAAGAATGCAGAAAAAAAACATGATGACAAAAAGCATTCCTCGATCCAGAGTGGCGCCCTTTTTAATGAACTTCCAACCCCCCTTCGTCGTCTACAAAAACAAGTCGTTTATATACTCCTTATGTATGTGTTGGCAAGATGCCATACAAAAATCGGATGGCTTTTTTCAATCTGCCTCACCTGTAGCAGTTGTGATGGAACTTGTTGTATGAACCCAGGGCAAAAAGGGTTCCAAAGCCCAGGCCGTAAGAGTAGAAGACCTGCGACCCGCCGTCCAGCCAGGTTATTGGGTCAGCCAGTCGCGAGAAATCGGGTTTCAGGTAGAAGTAGATCCCATCTTTCGCACCTGGAAGACTGATGGCCCTCACGAACAATATTATGAGCATCATGTACGGGAACATGGCCGTGACCCAAATTATCTGCGAGAAAATAAATGGAAAGAAAAGTTCATCACAGTATTCCGAAGAGTCATCCATGATGTGTCAAACATTCTAGATAAAATTCCAACATGCCCACGAAAACACTCGATAAATAACAATCTCCTTCGCGAACTTCAAGAGGGGAAATGCTTTGAGTTGAAACCTCAGGAATAAACAACCAATAGTCCAAAGGACCTGTGAAAATATACCATCTTAAAATAGGGTGTTCTTGAGCACCACGGTTGTAGCACAACCGAATTCTGTGTACAAATTATTTGCTTTCTGTACAATTCACCGTCTGATCTCCGCGACAGCAGCTGCAACAAGTTTTTCCCGTCAAATTCCGGGGGGAAATGCAACTTTGAAGAAGACAAATCCTGAAAACGTAATTACGAGCTTCCTTCTGGTCCAAACATCGCGGGCTGAATTACTGTACAGCAAATACCATATTTGATAATTTAATCTTTCATGATTGTATCTTTTTTTTCAATGTTTCGTCTGAAAGGGAAATGGTTCGAACCTTGCCACTGTTTTGCAGGCCTCTCCAGACGACAACGTAGATGAGCAGCCAGGCCAGAGCCACGAATCCCACGAGTTCCCACTGCATTCCACCTGCATTCTCCAAACCATCTGTGAGTTGCAGAACTCGATTGCTGCAAAAATACTGCGCATTCAACGCATTGCTCATTTACTACTATTCCTTGCCTACTGCAGTTCTTCCGACAACATTTTTCCGATACCATGTGGAGATTTTATAAATTTCTCGTCTCTTTTGTACCAAGCACGATGAGGCTCGGGAGAGTTTATTTGCATGCTTCGAAAAAATTAGAAACCTTTTGCCATCCTGTAGAAAAATTTCAACAGAAGAATTTTTTTTCAGCGTGAATGCAATGAATAAAAGAGAATGAATTTACGCGAAGTAGCTTTAAAAATCTTGAATAATTATGTCACGATGTTTATTCCGAGATTATTTTAAATCAGCGTACATTATTTTAGACATTGAAGATATACGAAGGTATATAAAAATACAGTGAGATCCCGGTATGAAGACACCCCAACATACGGACAAATCAACTTGGGGACGCTTGAAAACCCAAAAAAAAAATCAGGCCCAACACCTGGACAAAGCCTCAAGTTAGGGACAACTTCTCTGAAATTTTCCAAAAATTTTCTTAGGGCTCCTGGGAAAATTAATTTGCCATTTTTTGGCCTTGAAAAACTCAGAGGTGACTCAGGTAAGACACTTTTTCCCCATACTTATCCTGAAAGCATCATCCAGATGTGGATGTACGTATTGACAATGATCATTGTGTTCTTGAGATAAAATAATCAGTTTTGAATTGAAAGGAAGTTCAGTACTGTTTGTGGTTTAAACTTCAGCATCGTTTCGATTCTAAAGTTAAAAAAGGTGCCACGCCTTTGCCAGCTTTTTTTAATTATTTCATCGTTGCTGAAAACGAAATTGAAATATTTTTGTTCATAACTGATTTTATTTCACCCTCGAAGACTAACAATTTTGCCTTTTCAACAGGTCCAAAAAGTGTTGAAGATTATTTTTCTACAGTTGCTTCACCTCGTCTTGGTAATGAATTTAGAATGTTTCATCCATAACTGGATGAAATGCAAATGTCTTTGCGGGTACTTCGAAAAGGGACGCACTATTGGCATTGATTCAACTAATATTCTATCCTCTGCATACTTCCAATACATAACACTGTGTTGAACAGCACGAAATCTTTTTATCTTTGATTTCGTGCAGAAAATTTATCTTTCATGACCGGAATAACAATAGCAAACATTTGTTGTGAACTTCGAGACAAACTGGAGCTTCTTCAGAATATGCCCTCATTTCTGCGATTAATAATTCTTCCAAGCGGTCATCAATTCATAATTTAAACTTTCAATTACTGTATTTCATAAAGGTTACCACGGTGATATGATGGCGAAACACTACAAATGAGAAGCTCTGCTATTTCGGAGGGGAGGGGATGTTCGAGTCAATTTTCCTTCCAAGCCGAATTTTTCTTTCAGATTTTTTTTTTTACCAATACTTCAAGTTTCACCTCTTTCTATTTGATTCCGTCGGATAGTTTGAAGTAAAATTCTTTGGTACAGTATACGATGAGGTGCGTTATTACATCTGATTGGTGCTTTCTATATTTGGTTTGAGTGAATTTTTTTTTTTCGTTGGCGGAAAGGCCGCATTTTCCCCCAAAATGTATTCCAATTTTTTAAAGCGGAAATACAGTATATATTTTTCCTGAAATGAATGCTAAAAATTTGGGAAGTGACCCTTACACGCCCTAACGCTTTTGAAAAAAAAATCAGTCAAATGAAATCATGCACCAGGTCACGTCAGTATAGTTCTAAGCTTGAAACTTGTCTGCAGTAGACTGTCTCTAATCATAAAAACTCAAATTTCTGGAAATGAACACGCTTTGATGAATTCATCTGAATTATACGCTGCTGCGGGAGATCACAGAAAAATTATATATACAGTACATATAAATTGAAAAAATGACTCACTCCCAATATTCTTCTACCGGGGACTTTGACATATTCATGGAGATGCTGCGGTTTAGCTGAAACTCAGCCTCACTCGCCCAATCGTCGGCTTCGTAGCAGAACCTGGTGTTCCACCACCCGTGACACGTGTCCCAGGGCACTTTGGGAATGGTTGACAAGGGCATGAAGAGGTAGAACAGGGCCCATCCGATGATGACTGTGTAGGCGATGTTCGAGTGGAACAGGATCATCTGCACTGCCAGTCCCACCCCTAAACGTGGCCCAGCGAGAAAAAATAAGAGCTTTTTCATCAAGTTATATTTTCCTCAAAAAAAGAAAAACAAACGGATAATGTACCTTTCAAACAGGTGCAGTGTTTCAGGAATTAATCTTGCACATTTGTTTGCCTATAGTCCGAGTGGAAAATTTCAGATATCTTGCTAATAACTGGCTGAAATGAACTTTAAAAGTGTTTAAGTGGTGTAACTCCTGCAGCATAAATACATTCGTTTGTGCATCACCAGAGCACCTTTTCTTCTTATGTCAAGCATTTCATACTGATAGAAACAAGCTTAAGAAAGATTTACAAGTATTGGAATTCAATGAAGAGACCCTTATTTCTGAAATCTTAAAGGATCAAGATAAACTGTTGGCCTTATATGATTTCTCATCCAAGATTCTCTCTAATTTGTTCATTCAACTGAACCTCATACAGAAACAAGCTGAAGACCTT